AGCACGTCTTCAACGTAGCTTGTCACGCCCTCGTCGGGGCTTGTGTCCGCGTCTGGAGCCGGTCCTACGCATTCTGTCGCCGGTGTTGGTTCGAGAATGTTCGCTTCAACTCGGTGGCGCAGATATCCCACGAAATGAGCGAAGCCTCGTCTTTTTCAAACCGGTGCCTCGCGTTGCCTTCCAGCGAGAAGTAGAGGTTCTGGAGGCGTTGCTCGGCGTTCCATCCGTTGTGGCGGGCCACGCGCTCATAGTGAAGAATCCAGTCCTCGACGTCTTCATAGATTTTGCCATGGAAAGGTGTCGGCGATCGGGGGGCGACGGGCAGGAGAACGACGGGCGGGGCGGTCATCGTCGCGGTCTTCTTCCTTGATTTCTGCAGCAGGGGTCTGAGTTCCGGCGGTAGGCCTTGAGTGCGGCGACTTGACCGGTCCTTGGACTGATCTTCTGCGAAGGGAAGCCTCCCAGGGTTGAGTACGTCACTTGGCCGGCGTGTCTTCGGAGGGGTACGGTCCACGCAATTACCCCGCACCTCCACCAAAATGTCACGAATGACAAGTGATGAGGCGAAATGGGGCGAACTTGTGCCCAAATTAATAAAAGGAAAAGGAAACAGAAAAAAGCAGGAAAGCGTCGCGGGCGTCGATGTCGGCGAAACCGCAGGATCGAGCGCTGGGGCAAGACTGACTCCGGCTTGCCACGCGGAGCCGCTTTTGTACACGCGTGGGCTTCTGGAGCATTCGGCGTAGAAGGTTCGGCGCGTAGAACATTCTAACCTCGAATCAGCAAGGGGGTTCTCGAATTCGCCAGAACATCACATTACAGTGTCAACAAAAATGTGTAGCCGCGGCCAGGAATCGGACCCTGGCCCTTCGCGTGGAAGGCAAGCACGATAACCGTTAGGCCGCGGCCGCGCTGCCTACTTGGCGCGCGGCAATATTCCAAGTGTGTGCCTAAAGAAATTGAATTTTGTTTGTATCAGTAGCTTTTAGAGAATCCTTTATGATTTTTTTTCCCCCACTAGAAGTAATTTAGGTTCCGGATGGGTCCCTTCAGAAGAAAATACACTCTTGAAAAACGCAAAACATTCTACGTCAAAACTCTAAAAAATTACTGCATATACGCACCAACAAAAAACTCCCAATAGACTAGTACTTCCAAAAAACCTTGCATGCAATACCGCGCGCGTTGTCTTATAGGACCAGATTTACCATTCAGGGGAGTGGCAAGGTTTCAGTTTCGATCGCCCTGTTTACGAAGTAGTGTACCTCAGCACTGCATTGAAATAAAGTCAGTGCTCAATTGCATTGCACACATTCATCTTCGAAAGAACCTTCGTTGAAACACAGAACTTAAGCGGCCATAAGAGCCTGCCTAGGCTTATAAGCCTAGGCGGCCTGCCTACGCTTCTAAGCCTAAACAAACCGTACTCCCATTTTTTTTTTTTTTTTTTTTTTTTTTATATAGCAAAACGTAGGAGTACGGCCTGCCGTTTTCTAAGCCGTTCTGGCGGCCTGGGTACCATTCCAAAGTGCAGCGTTATCTTCCCGGCTGGCGAATAATTTAAGAAACCTAGGACATTGTGGGGGCAATGAAGCAGGATCATCTGGCCAGCATACTTTTTCAGTGTATAATAAGCGACCTTTGTTTAACTGCGCAGAAACTCCAGCACGTCGGGAGCCCAAATAAAGTGCCTTAGTATTATATCCGTATCGGGGGGCAACACCTACATTGTACTAAAATTAAGGGAAGACGCATAGTCTTAAGTGCAAGCACGATATTCAGTGGCGGCGCCCTGCTTTTCACAATTGGGAGGCGATGGGTTGCGCACAACATTTCTGGGAGGCGCAGGTTTTCGAGAAATTATAGTTTAGAAAGCGGTTACCATTGAATGGGAGGCAAAGGCTGAGCGGAGACGTGGTCGCTCTCAGCGAGACATGACGGTTAAAGATTCTACATAGCGTTATCGCAGTCAGGCTCGGATAATCAAGCGGTATGATAACAAAGGAACTACAGTAACAAGCCCGATGAAAGCGGCATTGGAGGTCTTTTTGTGGCGGGCGAAAGTTATTGGTTCTGTGGGCAAAGGTCGGACTTTATAAGTCTGTTCAGCTCAACCTGTATCACAGATATTGACTCCCAGAGCGCCAAGTGTATAATTAGGTATAGAAAACATTTCTAGATTGCCCAAGCTTGCCAAGAAAACGTAAGAATAGCAAATAACGTATGTCTAGAATAGCCACACAAGTCAAAGTGGTAGTTCAACTGAAGAACAGATAAATAACAATGGAATTTTATTCTGTTTTGACTTAAAGGACGATGGCCTGAAAGAGTGCGATCTGAAATGTATAACACCACCTGACGAAAATAACGCATATTCGTTTGCAAACACATCAGCTCCAGATGGCACTTCTTGCGGCGATTCACAGGTATTTGTTCCTCCAAAAATTTTTGGTGGCGCTGTGTATTTCCCTATTGATTGTTGGTTTAAGACGTTAAATACTTTTGCTTCTTGTCCCGCAGATCTGCAGACTGGGAAAATGTGTTGCTAGAAAAACATAAATCACTGACAGTGGACCGGAAAGTGTTGAACTGTATTGTCTTTTTTCCAATAAAGCACCTCTATGACTATGCATAGTTGAACAAACTAGAGCACGGAGTTTGGCCATGCATTCACTGACTGGCAATGGTCTTTTGGCCAATGGCCAACGAGTAGCCATTCATCGGCCAATGATTGGCCGATGGCTGATGGCCAGTGGCCAGTGGCCGATGGCCAGAAGAAGGCCAGTCATCGGCCAATGGCTGGCCACTGTCTGGCCACTGGCCAAAGGACCATTACCAGCCATTGGCCAATAAATGACCAAATCTGTGCTACTTGGGTAACTTCATTGGCGCTAGTGGATTGTGAAAAATGTTATCGATATCATTACGATGAGAACCTGCGAGTAACTTAAGACACTGCCTTATGTTGCTAAAAGTCAGAGTACCCAAGTGTTTAAAACATTCAAAGGGGGAATATTTAGGGTCAAGGGTGCCATCGAAGTTTTGACGAACACAAATATGGCACCACTCAATTTTAATCCAATTAAATTTATTTAAAATCTATCACAGGGGAATATCTCTGTCTCCGATACGTCTTCAAGGGAGTTTAATTTTTTCGCCTAAATTCGACCTACGTAAAACGTGAAAGAAGGAACTGAGGCTAATAAAAGAAGTTATTTCAGAATAACAGATTGCAAATTCATTTCATGATATTGTCAAGTATCTAAAAGTTTAAGTTCACCAAGATGATATTTTTATTAAGGCCCACCCAGTTGCGTGCCAACTACATTTCGATTGAAGGATCGAAGCAACAAATCGCTATAGAATCGATTCGCCCAACCAGGGGGCGCTTCGAAATTGCGATGGTAGCGCCACCGCAGTACAACACATGGTCGTGTCGCGCCGGTCGTGCTCGTAGCGTTGCATTGGCGTCGCAGGTATTTCGAGCGTACGGTGAAGATTTAGAGAAGGATAGAAAGCGTGCGAGAAATATTTCTCATGGTGAGTCAAGAAACGATAGAGAAGCTTCAATAACACGCATCTTCCACCGAGAAGGCGGTTGATTTCCCCGCCAACGAGTCGGGTCCGCCTCGCAAGTACGGCCGTGCGGCGTCTACGAGATAACTTTACAGGTGAGCGGCACTTGTTTAAATTTTGCGCTGTAATAACATTGTGCCTTAAAGATTACTGATCACAATGAACCACTGTTCTCGTGAGTCCTGTTAGACGACGTCGGGATACTATTTTTCGGTCGCTGAACCACCGGCAGACTACGTTCTCGCGCTAGAGGCTACGAGTGGGATAGCTTTTCGGGCTCGCCCACGTCGAAGAAATATTAACGTGTCGGGGATCGTGCGGGCATAGGGTGATAATTTCGGGAAGAGATAAGTCCCCCGCGTACAGTTGAGACTGCAGGTCCTCGCTGGGCTGGAGTCGCGGACCGGTGCGAGCATTGTGCCGACGCTCGTAATTTTATTAGTATTGTAAAACACGCGTCCTCATCAGCCTGCCTCAGCAGTAGGGAAGTAAAACGCCAGGGCACGACCTGAACAAAGACCTCGTAGATTTATTACCAGGTTTTTTTGTCCCACTTCACTGAGGCAGTAGGTTGCGGTTACTGGGGACCTGCTCCCGCTGATTAATGGTACTTTTTCTGCGAGTTTGAACAATAATGTGCCGCGAGATTCTGTCAGAAAGAGGGGCAAAACAGTTGAAAACGAAAAGAGGCTAGCCTAGACTAAATCTCCAGCATAAATGTCTGCTATGCATATGACTGCACATAATTTTAGTCGAATTTTCATGACAATGTTCAGTTAGATGGATTTATAAAAAAAACTTAATTTCTCTTTCAGGTTCAAGTTATCCAGTCCACATGCAAGATTTTCAAATATTGGGTGGGGGCTTGATTTATACTTTACTGTGTGGGACATTTTAGGAGGAAAATGTTGCATAGCAAAGAAAACACCAGTGACACATGATAGGTTGTCATTAGTAGAACAATTTTTATTTTCTGGAAAAATAATCCATGCCTGTCAGTGTTTCATTGCTGGTTCACTGAATAAAGTTTCTTTCGTGGCATGTTGGCATGTTTTCAAGCGTTTCCAGGAATGTACCGTATTTTCCGGGCTATGCTTTTAAAAATGAAAATTTTAGGCTGTGCGGACTATGCGGGATTTTTGTTTTTCAATATCGTTGATTATGACGAGACGGATTTTGTGAATGAAAGGGTATGTTAATGATAATTTATGTATAATACCAGCTTCTTTTTGCGCTAAGAAAGCAGACATCTCTCAAGGTGTGCTGTCTATGAGAGGATATTCGTGACAACTAAGCACCAGGTGCAGACGATGCACTGTATGTGTACAATGTAAGCAAAATCTATTTTTTACCCCAAATTTGCCCCTGTGGACTATAGTCTGGAAAATATGGTACAGCAGCATAATGCATCGCTTTCAGAAATGTTTTGTTGACAGTGAAAACGATTTTTATTGAGTTTTGTCACAACCACGAGTAGGTAAACACACAACCTTGTGACAATATAAAAATTCTTCTCGTGCTCTTAACACGGTGACATTGGCGCAGACTCGAAGTATGGCTGGCAGGACACTTGCAGATGATGTACACATCTCGAGAAGCAAGGACTGTCCAAGAAATTGTAGGGCCGAGAACCCCGATTATTTCAGAGATCTTGCACGGCAGATCAGCTGTTCAAGATATTCCAGATCTCACGAAAGATGTCTCCCAGTTCGTGAGAAAGCAGTCGTCCTAAGCTTATTCATCTTTAGCCAAGCTATATTGAATCTTGGGGTACAGACTAAACCAAAACGTGCAACTCGAAGACGAAAGAGACTACAGAAGTTGCCAATGAACTAACAATACTTTTAACTGGCTAAGAACCGGGCACACATAGAGAATGCAACATAGATGAGGAAAGGTCACCTGCATCTTCGAGCGAAGGAGTGAAAATTAATTTAAATTAACTAAGAATCTTTCACGAGCAATTACAGGGTTGGTAGGTTTCCTGCAATTAGTCTTTATTAAACACCTCAGCTGGCATCTCGTCTAGTGACTTATTGCAGGATGAGCCTCAGCGTTGTCCTTGCAGGTGTTCACGAAGTGCACGCTGCAGATCCTCGCTGACGTTGGCGGAATCAAAACTGAACCGCCCCCACTGAAAAATAAGTCAATAATATAAGATCTCTGGTGTGATCAGCAGAAAATCGACAGGAAATAATAGAAACTGTTATTGTCCCTAGCAAGTAAAAACATAATCAGGCTTTCTTTTTATTTTAAAAAGGAAGGGGGGGGGGGGGGGGCTGGCTGGTTGAGGCTGTTTGGAAGTGCATTCCTTGTGTGTGTTGTTTGGGAGGGGGGGGGGGGATGCATGTGTATATTATAGCGTCGTACATGATGGCTATAAACAGCTAAAAAAAAACGGGAACAGCGATTAAGAAACACACACGGCAGAAGAAAGCTGCAATCGCAACCCCCAAAAGCCCCTCCCCTAGCTAGAAGTGTGCTGACAAAGTCAGAACGGCAGGCAGGGCGTCTCTTGTGAACGGCCGAGCTCCAGCACGTCTTCGTTGCCCTTCGTTGCGATGTGGCTGCACGTGAACGCTCGACGGTCGCGAGATAGAAACCCTGTCGACGGTTCGAAGCTAGTGCTGGAGGAACTGAAGCTTCTCCCTGCCGTTCTCACCCTGCCAGTGATTGTAGTTGAAATATTCGTGCCAAAGGGATCCAACATCGCGACCGAAGCCCCGTCAAACACCTCGAGGGAAGCGACAGACGCGCACGAAAATCAGATATTCCGTCACGCAGGCACTGCCAACTGACTTCCCCGCGTTCGGTAGTCATTATGTTTCTATTCTGACACCAATTCTATTTAGTTTTTCCCGCGCATTTAGCAAAACTGATCTTCCAACGAACGAGAAACTTACTTTTGTCGGAGCACCGACGTGGTCCAGGCTTGGCGTCGTTCGAGTCTCGCACGGCTTTTCAGGGAAGCGGTAGAATTTTAAGGATCGACTACAACAATATCGGAGATTGTTGCTGCGATCAACAACGAAATATTCGTGCTAGCCGGGCTTTTATATCGTCTCTATCGCAATGAATGTTATATCCGACCGCCTACGACGGAGAAGCGAGGCGAAAAACAACGAGCCACTCGGACTCGGGCGTCCCGCCAGGGGCTGGAATGGCGCTGTAGTCGGCGGCGAAACTTGAGCGCTTCGGTCCTATACTCGCGGTCAGCTTTCTGTGGCAATGCAGTCAATGCCAGGGGAGAGGGTGCACCAACCCCTGTACACGCACCGTCCGCCTCTTTTCGGATTGCCACAAAAGCTGACCGCGAGTATAGCCGCCCCCCCCCCCCCACCCCTTCTCCCCCTCAGGGATTGCACATATTATAGTTACTGCGCCAAATCTAGCTTTTTTCTTCTTTTTTTAAGGCGAAAGCCTGTTTTGTCCCATTACGCAAGAAAGCGGCGTCGTTGTGCGCGAAAGATGGCCAGGACGACGCCGTCATTGGTGTCGTCATTGAGGTCATCCTTAATGTTGTCCTTGAGGTCGTCCTAGCAGTTGTCCTACACGTCGTCCTCTAGGCGTTGTTCTCGACGTAGTCCTAGACGTCGTTTTCCAAGTGTCGTTCTCGACGTCGTCCATGATTTCGTCCTAGAAGTCGTTCTCAACGTCGTCCTCGACGTCGCACTGTACGTCGTACTTGAGGTCGTCCAAGAAATCGTCCTCGGCGTCGTCCTAGACGCTTTCCTTGATATCGTTCTCGAGGTCGTCCTAGACGCCGTACTTGGCGTCGACCTGTAGGCCGTCTATTGAAAAATTAAAAGCAGCTTGAACCAGACGAAGGACAAGAGAAGATGTAGACAGACAGAGCGCTGACTTTCAACTGATCTTTATTGGAAAGCAACATATCAAACATCGCTGTAAATAAATAGGACGCAATTCTTGACTCCTTGTCATGTACAATGACTGTCATACAAGTGCCCTCGGAACATAAGTTCTTTATCAAACAGATCAATCGATGGCGCACTTACGCACGCCATTTCCGCATTGAGAAGTATAGGACGTCGTCCTAGACATTAATACGTGTAGCAACATTACTCGAAAAAATTTCTCGCGCCTGAAACTAATTTTAATTTCGCCTTCCTACACGTAAACAGTCTTAAGTGTCCTCCTGGGCGTTTTCAGATAAGATCGAACAACCATGTACAGTGACCATTTTTAATTTTGATGAAAAAAAGATATTTTGGTGGCTCCATGCCCAGACAAATAAAAGCAACCCTTGTTTAAAAAAAAAAAGAACGAAAAAACCTATATTGTCTTTGCGGAAAAAATTTGTAAGCACCTCAGTCACGCGCGCGTTTTCCGTATCGCGCGATCTTGACAGTTCGGGCGGCTTCCTAAAAAACATGTTCTGGCTATGGGTCTAGAAATATTTACTGACAAATTAAGCACAGGAAGAATTGACAAAAATTTGAATCACCGTGTATTAGGCTTGTTATTTTGATAAACAGAATCTCAAACACGGCACATTGCGCAGTAACCCTCAGGAATAAAGATTTTTTTTTCTCCGTATGCATAAAAGCTAAGGTCGTCAAACTTTGCTAGTGTGTTGCCCTGTATATGACGCATCTTTCCATGAAATATTGTTGTCCTGGTTAGCGGGAGAAATGTACAAGAATTGCCCACGCAGGGGCATTTAATGCATATGCATTATTTTGAAAATAATTCTAAAGAAAAGGCAACCTTTAATTTTCTTTAAACTCTGTGAAATTAACGTTTATAATATGTACTAACAGAGTCAGCGAAAATATAATGCACTTTTTGTGTGGTTTTTAAGTAATAAAGCGAGAAATATGGCCAAATGGACGCTAACGCGGTTACCTTAAATGGGCGTGCACATGCCCGTTCTTCACAATTTCAATATCATTAATAAATATATATCGGATTACATATTTCAAGTCCGGTATTTTCATCGTAAGTGCACTGCAACCTACTCCTTTGCAACGACTGACCGTTCCGTTCCGGATTACCTCTAGAATTGGGCAGTGTCTATTTTCTAGCAGCCGGGAGAATAATTTCCCCGAAATTCTATCGGCAGTCGCCTGCCATTAGCTGTATACAATCATGTGACAACTGTAAATGGAATACTGACTTTCTTATTCTCCTGGCGTTTTGTGAAAACGTTTTTGTCGATACACGTTTTGTAGACACGTTTCATCGACACTTGTTTCATCGTCACTCGTTACGCAAAATGCACGCTGTAAGGACATTTTGTCGCGCGTGTGTCTCTGGGGCGCGTGCTCACCGACCCAGCCGACCCGTTCGCGCCGCTTCGTGGCGACAGTCTGCGGCGGCTCATTACAAAAATATTAGCCCACCTGTCCCACCCATACACGTCACTTCGCGGATACATTGTGGGGCGGCTCATTGCAAGAAAAGAAAGGAGAGAAGCTAAAATAGAAAAGCTAATCTGAGTTGTCGATGAAACGTCGTTCGATGAATTAACGGCGACTGCTGGTGGATATTTGCGGAAATAATTCTACGGGCTGCTGGCAGAATGGACACTACCTAAGACTCACCCCCGGTTCTTGTTTGCTTAGTAATCTTTTCAGTTGTGTAGAAGCTTCTTTGTACGTCTTCAGATATCACGGATTGCTTGCAAGTTTGTACTTGCTTACGGGATAGGCTGTCTAATAAACTTCTATGAGATTTAAAAACAATACCGTGTGTCCGTTTACCTGCCTTTTTGCAATCACCGGGGCGCATACATTTTTTACTGTTTTCCTTGATGTCTTAAATAGGTTTATGAAGTTATGAAACGGGTGCATAAAGTGGTGTAACCATGCACCTTTGAATCGGGTGCATCTGTGTTCTCTTCGAATTCAGCGAGTGTAGAAAGAGGTGTAACAGCACACTATTGAACGGGGTGCTCCTGTGTTCCCTTTGAGAGCAGTAGGTGTAGAAAGGGAAGTAATGGTACACTATTGAGCGGGGTGCATCTGTGTTCCCTTTGAGTGAAGCGGGTGTATGAAGAGGTGCAATGGTACACCATCGAATGGGGTGCATCTGTGTTCCCTTTGAGTGAAGCGGGCGTAGAAAGAAGTGTAGCCGTAGCCGTACACCATCGAATGGGGTGCACCTGTGTTCCCTTCGAGTGAGATTTCTGTAGAAAAAGGTGCACATGTGTACCACACCAACGAGTGTACACGTGCTCCCATATTTGGGGTGCACTTGTATTCCCCCAAAGGGTGTAGTATATGTGACAAGCACTTACACCCCGTATGGGTGTACCCCATGACACCCTTTTTTTTAGAGTGTAGAGCGCCGCGACGTTAGAGCGCACAGCACTAGAGCGCCACGACGTTAGAGCGCGCGACTCCAGAGCGCGGCGATGTTAGCGCGCGCGACTCTAGTGCGCAGCGACATTAGGGAGTTTTCGTAGATCGTTTTCGCCGTCCCGCAAGGCCCTCCGCAACCCGCTACGATAGCGGGAACTCCACAGTCAAGGCTATCGGTGCGCAGGCGCAGTAGCAACTTCTTCGTTGCGGAACGCTTAGCGGAGGGGGCAACGCGGTCTACGAAAACTCCCTATTGGGGAGTTTTAGTTGACCGTGTTTCCACCTCCGCTACGAAGAAACCGCCACTACGCCTGCATGCCGATGGCTTTCACTAGGGAGTTTTCGTAGATCGTTTTCGCCGTCCCGCAAGGCCCTCCGCAACCCGCTACGATAGCGGGAACTCCACAGTCAAGGCTATCGGTGCGCAGGCGCAGTAGCAACTTCTTCGTTGCGGAACGCTTAGCGGAGGGGGCAACGCGGTCTACGAAAACTCCCTATTGGGGAGTTTTAGTTGACCGTGTTTCCACCTCCGCTACGAAGAAACCGCCACTACGCCTGCATGCCGATGGCTTTCACTAGGGAGTTTTCGTAGATCGTTTTCGCCGTCCCGCAAGGCCCTCCGCAACCCGCTACGATAGCGGGAACTCCACAGTCAAGGCTATCGGTGCGCAGGCGCAGTAGCAACTTCTTCGTTGCGGAACGCTTAGCGGAGGGGGCAACGCGGTCTACGAAAACTCCCTATTGGGGAGTTTTAGTTGACCGTGTTTCCACCTCCGCTACGAAGAAACCGCCACTACGCCTGCATGCCGATGGCTTTCACTAGGGAGTTTTCGTAGATCGTTTTCGCCGTCCCGCAAGGCCCTCCGCAACCCGCTACGATAGCGGGAACTCCACAGTCAAGGCTATCGGTGCGCAGGCGCAGTAGCAACTTCTTCGTTGCGGAACGCTTAGCGGAGGGGGCAACGCGGTCTACGAAAACTCCCTATTGGGGAGTTTTAGTTGACCGTGTTTCCACCTCCGCTACGAAGAAACCGCCACTACGCCTGCATGCCGATGGCTTTCACTAGGGAGTTTTCGTAGATCGTTTTCGCCGTCCCGCAAGGCCCTCCGCAACCCGCTACGATAGCGGGAACTCCACAGTCAAGGCTATCGGTGCGCAGGCGCAGTAGCAACTTCTTCGTTGCGGAACGCTTAGCGGAGGGGGCAACGCGGTCTACGAAAACTCCCTATTGGGGAGTTTTAGTTGACCGTGTTTCCACCTCCGCTACGAAGAAACCGCCACTACGCCTGCATGCCGATGGCTTTCACTAGGGAGTTTTCGTAGATCGTTTTCGCCGTCCCGCAAGGCCCTCCGCAACCCGCTACGATAGCGGGAACTCCACAGTCAAGGCTATCGGTGCGCAGGCGCAGTAGCAACTTCTTCGTTGCGGAACGCTTAGCGGAGGGGGCAACGCGGTCTACGAAAACTCCCTATTGGGGAGTTTTAGTTGACCGTGTTTCCACCTCCGCTACGAAGAAACCGCCACTACGCCTGCATGCCGATGGCTTTCACTAGGGAGTTTTCGTAGATCGTTTTCGCCGTCCCGCAAGGCCCTCCGCAACCCGCTACGATAGCGGGAACTCCACAGTCAAGGCTATCGGTGCGCAGGCGCAGTAGCAACTTCTTCGTTGCGGAACGCTTAGCGGAGGGGGCAACGCGGTCTACGAAAACTCCCTATTGGGGAGTTTTAGTTGACCGTGTTTCCACCTCCGCTACGAAGAAACCGCCACTACGCCTGCATGCCGATGGCTTTCACTAGGGAGTTTTCGTAGATCGTTTTCGCCGTCCCGCAAGGCCCTCCGCAACCCGCTACGATAGCGGGAACTCCAC